CTGTCTGCGTCGAATTAGGGCCGCGTGGGCATCGTTCTCGCGAGCCCTTTCCGTGGCCTTCTTCTGCGACATGATTTGGTCGCAGAATGTGAGCATCGCCTTCCAGGACCTTTCGCTATCCAGCATGACCCTTACCACACTGGGCAGGGAGAGGTCTCTCCTATGTCAGCTATCAGCTCACGGCGCTGGGACCCCAAGGACACCTCTAGTGTGTGTTCAGCTGTGTCTTTTGCAACGCGGCCCTCGTGGCACTGCGGTGTCTCCTCCATGCCCAGTAAGCACCTGCACAAGGTGGAAAGAGAGAGACCCGTAGGTATATATACCTGTAGGTTTCCGCCAAGACCTGCGCCTCCAACTCCCATGTGGGAGTGGCAACCAGGGCACTGGCTGCCGCCCAGGATGCCGTGCGATATCCTTGTATAGCTCTCACCGCCCTTGTCCGCTGTGGACGTCGCAGCAGAGCCTTATTTCGGACGGTGAGGGCCTCAACTCACACTGCCGTGAGCAACTACCAAGGTAACGTCCGCATAGCAAATAATCTTTGCCCATTCTGGAAGGGGACGTCTGAACACCCAGTGGAATGCAAGGTACCATAAAAGAGGGCCAAAAACCGAGCTTTGTGGAACCCCGCAGTCCATGCTTCGGCTGATTATATGCCCCTGCTACCCTATATATAGAACTTTGTGGGCCCTTAGATAGTCCGTCACCACTTGTTGCAGGTAGTTAGGAATCCTATGGTACCGCAGCGTCTCTATAATAGCAGGGAAAGGAATACCATTAAAAGCGTTGCGGATATGGTTTTCAATAGCGCATTATTTCCCTTACAGCTTCTCTAGTAAATGTTCTAAACTCCAGAACAGCATCAATGGTGGACCGGCCAATCCTGAAACCGAACTGATTTTCGGAGATATCCGGTTTCACATCTCGGAGATGCTAGATAATACAGGCAGTGAGCATACGTTCGAACAACTTGGCCGCTTCATCCAGCAATACTATAGGTCTTTAGGCAGGATGATTCGGGTATTCGAGGGGACAACCTTCTTTATGGAGCAGACACAAACGACTCTCCTTCCACGTGGCATGGAACCGCCCATCCATAAGACACTTGTCGAGAATTCGACGAAAGCGCTCACCTAGGTGCTTTAGCGTCATGTATAAGACCTTCCTGGGCACACAATCTGGGCCTGGGGCCTTTGATTTGGACCGAAGACGATCCGCAGTCGCCTCGAATTCCGCATCCATTACTGGTGGTGGAAACCCAGCTACTTCCGTGCTCTCTTCTTCCGTAAAGGGGAGCACGGGGGGTGGAGTCAAAGCACCAAGTTCTGTAAAGAGTTCCGATACAATTCTAGATAGAAGTTCCGGCTCAAATGATTCTGTGGGCGGGCCACGGTTCCGCATCTTATCACGGACCATGCGATAAGGTCGCCCCCACGGGTCTTCGTCCAAGCTGGAGAGAAACTCCACTCTGGTATCCTCTTCAGCTTTAGTTATGGTAATCTGAAGCAACCTCTTGGCTTCTTTATAAGCCGCATGCAGACGCTCCTCATCCTCGGCCGTATGTCGGCGGCGCCTTCGGCATCTCTTGTGCTCCCGTCTAGCCCTGTTACTAATATATCGCAGATCAGCGATTTCCTACGACCACCAGTAAAGGACATCGACGAAATCGGCCCTAGCATGCCCAAAAGAATGTCCTTCACTATTATCTTTCTATTATTTTTTTAACATATTAGCAATTAATCATAGTAAACGGACAATCTGTTTAAAAAAATAAAGTTCTGTTACTAGATACTACAGTCTATTCATCCAACTTGGCACTCCTTCTTATTGAAAAAACAGCATTAAAATTCAACTTTTAACTGGATTCAAAAGGTTTCAGTCTATAATAACGATTTATTTTAATAGTTTATTGGCTTCGTTAATATTTTATTATTAAATGGGTGATTCTGTTAAAAAGTTGTGCCAAGATTGTTTACCTTAATAAATGCATTAGAGGCGACCATAGGTATTTATCAAAAGAAAAATAGAGATACCTTAGTTAATAATACTTATGACTAGTATTTATATTATATTTATAAAAAGATTATTTCTGAAATTATGTAAAGATAGTTTATACTCCCATCCCATGTAATATCTGTTTATTTTTATGAAAATCATAATGATAACCAGGTACATACCTAATTGCCGATAGTAAAATAAAGAAACAGGTAAATGGAAAGACTGAACATTTCATTTGAAAAGAAATCTATTATTACTACAGGTAAGGTATAGGTATCGTAGGTGCCAACTGACAACACTCATTAATCAATATGAATTTAAGCATTTATTATTTTTATTATTGATTGCATTTTATGTTCATTTAATGCATATTATTTAAGTGCTTACATAGAGGTAAACACTAAATCTATTCAGAATATATAAAGTGTACATCTTTTACGATTAAGTATAATAATTATAACCTCAAAATCAAATACATTCTGTAGTAGGCCACGGTTCCTCAAGTTGTCCGTATCTCAACAAATGCCTAATTAGAGTTTATGAATGATTCCGAACACAACTAGCATTTTCTCATTGCTGGGCGTTCTAGGGCATTCAATGTATGGGGAACGAGCAATGTCCTTTGCCTTCTTCTCGGTCTGTTGTCGGATACGGCATCATCATGGAAGTTGCCATGCCAAAGACGGAGCACAACACTAACCTAATCTAACCTACGGACCACAAATACCGATTATGCTTAACGAAATTATTCAGAATAAAAATTTGCCAAAGGTAGTTTATGCTTATTCAAATTCTTCCATCTTAAAAGTATGCTATTGAAGTACGAAGGAACTGGAGGTAATAAGATTTCGATAACCTATCTGACGACCGACCATTGTGGAAGTTGCTCAACTTTCACGTTTGCAGGCTAAATGCGCTAACCACCTGCACAGTCAGCCTCCTCATTCGAGCTTCTATAGGTACTCAATCACAGATAAATGGATCTAAGAGTTAAAGGATTGGAATTTTCAATGCTGTATTTGTTACCAACCAAAGAAACTTGACAATTACATACGCAGCGGTGGAGAAGACATCTCCAGATAAAGGCTTTAATGAATTGCCATGAAAACTGCATGTGTCGTCTCGGGTAATTATAACGCATTTTTTATTTTTTTGTCGACTCAATTTCTTTGTTACGGCTCATTGCCAGTATTAAGTGACGAAGCCAAACATATGTACTTCCACAGTCATTAATTTTTATTAGTACTTTAAACTGGTACGTGCTCGCAGAGATATCATATGTTAGTATTAAAATCCATCAAACGACACATATAATGCAATGAAAAAGCTTTCAAACGTGACTGCTGCGAACGTCAATATCATAAAGAAAGTAATAAAAAGTATTATTGCAATACCAGCTTTGTATGGAAAGTTAATAGCGTTTTGATGCTTCTCAGTCCTGGTTGGTATACGTGACAGAATAGGTATGGTTGGTATAGGAACGAGACGGAATACGTAGTGGTTCTTAGAAAATAACAAATCCATACTATTGCAAAAGTTATATCCAAACTGTTCATTTGTGACGCTTTCAAACTATTATTGTTGATTTTTTTTTTAATTTTGCTATATAAATAAAAAAGATTTTTAAGATGATAGGTATGACAAAACAAATTGAAGTGGTTAAAATGGAACAGAAAGAGTTCGAATCCCGGTAGGGACATTTAATTGAGTGACGAGCACAAGTATTTGTACTCAAGTCAACCATCAATTCTTATAATTATATGTGTTGTTGTATATTTAGTATACATACTGCAAGCTCTGCTTAGTTTTGATAACTATAAGTTGTTCAAAATTTATAAAAAAAAAATACTTACATATAGTTATTTTAGTAAACAGAATTTGTAACTTTTGCTCAACATCTGCAATCCGTAGACGCTTATGACGCATTGCTATCAAGGCCGTATAGAGTATGCTGAATAATTCATGATGGTGCTGAAACCATATTATTTACTTAGTATGAGATGGCATCTCAATATACCTAGGGCAGCATCAAATGAAGGGTGCCTCTGTATGAAAAATCCGTTATTTATTCATTCATGATATTAGATACCTAACTATTACGTCAGGTCTGGTTTTATTCAAATGAGCTGGTCTCATAATCCGTACATAACAACGTAAAAAAAATATCGTTCAGTTTTTAGGAAATTTTCCGGCAGTACACATTTCAACTTTCTTCTTTCAAAATATAGACTAAAGTTAACTTTTAAAGCCAATGCTGCCTCTGAATTATCTTTAGCAAACGAACGGGATTCCATAAATTTCATACCGGGTTTAACTTTAGCTAAAGTCAAAAATAGGCAAATAAATCTTCTCATTTTATTCATTCACTTAGCAACGAACGGTTTTCATTATTAAACACGCTCGCAAGCGTCCGGGCCTACTACTTGTTTAATAAAATTAAATATTTTATGTGGATAGACAATATCTGACGAATATTCAATAAACTCATAAATGTTAAATTTATGCCGTTTAAAATCAGAGCACGAGTCATTTTTTTATTCAAGTGCGTACACTAAAAACATGTATATGACAAAAAATATAGGTATTTACTTCAAGATTTTTCTATAATTAGGTGTATGCCGAAACTGCTGTAAAACTAAATGTGTTGATTGTTATTTTAGGTAGGTAGATATGACGAAATTTTCTCTTCTTAATTGTATTTAACGAGCGATTTCACGGTGATTCTGACTCTACAATTGTCGTGCTGTCGCATTGAAAAAAAAATGCCGAAAATGTAAGACAATAAACTATTAACAGAGTACAATGTGAGTTCATCAGCCAATTAGGAATTGTAATTATTTTTAAACTATGTTAATGTCAATAGAATAGCAAGGGCACGTGTACTGTTTTATATTTCAAAGGCGGCGCTTTGCATAAGTCACTCGTATGAATGTGTAACGCGCTATTCGATTATAAAACAAAAACAGGAGCTCGCCCTTTGTTTACTAATGACGCATGCGCAGCGTACCGTTCACATGCAATCTACGCGGAGTCGTTTACCTTCCGAGCGTCGGGACGGCCATGTGCGTAGATGCGTGAGCGCAGCGCGACGACCATCCGCCAGAGCGCCAGAGCCCGCGGCGGCGCGCGGACGATGCCGCGCTGCCTACACGCAGCCCTACTCCTCGCAGCCGCAGCCGCCATCGCAGCCGCAGCCTGGACGCCCCCGCCACACCCGCTTCACCTCGACCCCAAAACGCACACAGCGAACACAACCAAGCACCTTCAACTTCTCGGCTGGCATCTGGAACTCCAGGAAAATAAAGCCATACGCTCTCCTTACTACAACGAATGCCAGTTCTATAGAGGACGGATACTACACGAAGAGGAATCGACAGCTACTGTGACCGAGTGTGACGGCCAGCTTTATGGTCTTCTCCAAGTCGGGAAAGAAGAGTTTGTCCTGCAACCAAACCAACCAGGGTCTAATCACGTTCTCCGTAGGAGAGATGTGATGTGGTCAGATCGCCCTGCCGAGTATAATCTCACAGGCGACACGGTCACTGACCTTGATCTTCACTTCGAAGAAGATGAAGTCTCGACGCCGCATGTGCGCCTGAGAAACAGCGATTACTCGGACATCGAGTATTTTCGAGAAGTGCGTCCCGTCACTAGATCTGTGTCAGGTGTGTGACTTTATAATGAAGACAATAATCGGTGTTTTGAAGGAGGTATAACGAGTTAATGTTTCAGGTGTGAATGGACTGTGGCTCGAGATGGCCATTGTAGCGGATCACACAATGCTGAAATTCCATGGGCGCGAACGAGTGAATCATTACATTTTAGCTTTAATGAACATTGTAAGTAAGGTATACGCTCGTGTCGTATGTTCAACGTTTATTTTTAGTGTGAAACTCTTGAAGTGTCTGGTTTTCATCTTCTCATTTTTATGTAATATTTTGTAGGTCAGTGCTATCTTTAACGACCCCTCGTTGGATGCTAATATGACGCTTGTTATAAACAAGTTGTTTCTCTATGAGGAGAAAGATCCTATTATAAAGTTTGGAAATGTAAAGAAGTCCTTGGAAGCTGTGAACAAATGGAATTATAGACACCTTATGAAACTCCCATTAGGTGAGTGATAATGTTGGTATTATATTAGTTTCATCAAATAGCATGTCCATTACTCATTATTAATGAGTTGTTAAATGTTGCATAATACGAGCTATGGTAGAATCTGTTAAATTCACAAGTATTTTTTTAATTGCATTTGTTATCATTGTTATCTGGCACGCGTGTCAGTATCCGACACTGACCATTTATTGTCATATCTCTGCGATGCAGAGCAGTAATATTGCATGTTTCCTTTCAGTGCCCTAATATCATTTCTGCTAATATCTAAACAATTACAGTTTTGAACGTCAAATAAAATTAGGTCATGCTCTATTGAATAATGAAGTATTAGTCTGAATTTAGTTAAAACAATATGAGGTAAAATTTTTATACTGAACCAATTAATTATATTGACAAAACTGGACGTTTAGTAAATAGAACCTCATCGATGGATTTCATTGAAGACTGCATGATAAAACGAATGTGGAGATGGTAGATTTACTTAATTGCACCAATATTTATAGCGAAGTAAGAAATAATAAATGTAGTAAGTGTAAAGAAATATACTTTTTCGTATTTTTTTTTTATTGTATATGGGTCTACCTTTTAACGCAGAACTTTTAATGTCGTAATATTAATATGCATATACATTTCTTAACGCTTAATACGATTCGTCGTCCCGTTTAATACGCCTAAATCGCCAACACGTACCTACCACCACACATATTACTTCTTGCGGCAGCATAAAATTCAATAAGAAAATGAGTGTCACTCAAGAAGAGGCCCTACGTGATAATGATCAAGAAGAAGATGAGTCAACTCCGATTTTGACACATGATCAAGGGTGAATCGTAATCCAAGGCAAATGAAAAAATATAATTATATGTGTATGAGAACACTAGTATTATGAGTATATTTTTCAAACAAACAATTGCAATTAAATAATAATATTAATTTAGTTAGAAGATTACACTTATCGACATATATTTGAAACATGTCTGCAGAAATAGCACGGTATTGGCTTTTAACTACTATTGTTGTGTTTAATAAGCTTAAAATATCATGTTAACTCACTTGACCAAAAAGTTATTTTTCAAATCAATTTTTTTATATACTTAATGCTTTATACGTAATGCTTTAGAATTACTGGTATCAAAACCTGAAATGAATTCAAAAACATATTGAACTTAAAATACACAAGTAGTTTCTGATAAAATAAATATTCTGTTATCCTTCTCAGGTTCTGTATTAGGCAGAAATAATATTGCTAATCAATCTTGTTGTCATAGAGAGCACTGGGTGGGACGCAACAATATGGTTGACACGGGCGCAGCTCGGCGGTCCATCGGGGTTTGCTCCCGTCGGCGGGGTGTGCTCCAAGACTCGCTCGGCCGCCATCGACCGAGACGAGGGCCTCACCAGCGCGTTCGTCATCGCTCACGAGCTGGCGCATCTGTGAGTACTGGATGGGGCGCAACAATATGGCTGACGTGGGAGCAGCTCGGCGGTTCTTTGGGGTTCGCTCCCGTCCGTCGGTGGGGTGTGCTCCAAGACTCGCTCGGCCGCCAGCGACCGAGACGAGGGACCAGCGCGTTCGTCATCGCTCGCGAGCTGGCGAATCTGTTTAATTGAAATGGTTTCCAATATTTCTGCCAGTAACAGCATTGTCGTCATTGTATTATTTTCTTTCATTTACAGTTAGGTAAGGTTACAGATAGTCTAGGTGCGTCTTTAAAAGTAACGAGATAGCAATCTAGGTAAGTCAGTTAGTGAAGTAGTCACATTAATATGAACAAGTTTTGTCCATGTCTTAATTCAATATTCCACTGATTATGTACTCGTGATGACACTTTTGAAAAATAAGACTACTACGTAGTACGTACATCCTGGCTGCGACGCTCGGATTACTCTTCTATGATTTTACTACACAATATCTACTATTATATTATGTAAAATATGCGAATTCATATTCTGGAATACGACGATGTAAATGGATTCAATAAAATTGCAGCAAAAACTCCGCAACAACCCTTTGTTCAAACTTTTTTATAGATCCGATATTCCGCCCTTTGAGCCAGTGTGTTATTTTGTTCCAGTTATTATAGTTTTAAGATTTTAATAAACTGCAACAAGTTTAAATTTTTATTTATTAAGCATTTAACTGCTAGATGTTTAAATCAAAACAATTTATCGACATAATGTGCTGAAATTATTATTATAAGCTCCGAATTAAAAGCGGTGGATAAATTTATAGACAACTGCGGGCGCCCGCGACTTCCTTCGCTTTAACTGTAGTTTTTTAAGAATCCCACAGGAATCTGTCATTTTCCGGGATAAAATTTCTCCTATGTCTTTATGTCATGAAATAATTCGTACCAATTTTCATCTAAATCCGCTCAGTAGTTTTTGCGTGATAACAAACATCCATACAAACTTTCGCATTTATAATATTGGTATGAAGGAAGTATAACTACTTCAAATTGTTTGTTGTAGTCTTGTTGATGCCAAATTAATTTTCAGATTTCCACAAAGATTTACAAAACAAATTGGAGATCTTTATACTGTCAAGGGCAACATTGACTTTTACAAAGGAGACAAATGACCGAAACATACAATAAGAGAACTTTTCATTCTCTCATTAACACCCAATTTTGTTTGACGTAATATAATTTTGTGCGGGATGTTGCTGCTACTTTATTTATGGCTCAGGTTTACTTATTGTTAACACTAAATTATAAACTCTACGTGTTTACAAAAACGTCCTCGTGGCAAAATTCTGGCAAAATAATACGGACGGAAGTGTAATTCATTTCCATTCCATTAAACATCCTTTTGTGACGTCATAATTTCGTTTGCTCTGCGCGTTGTTTATTCAATTACTATGTGATGAATATTCGCCGTAGGATCTGTGTATGATAGAAAGGCTTAGTATTATAAAATATATGAGTCAGTACATACTTATTACTTTTATATGTGTGGGAAAACCATATCTCATTGGCAAAAAATAGGAAATAGGCTATTTGAAAACTTTATTAAAATCTTTATTAGAATCTTACTTTTTATTGAGCCCTTAAAAATCAAATATTTAAAATTTTGTTTATCTACATATATGTGATGTGACGTCATTTATGGGTCTGTAAATCCTAAGGATTCTCGGTCATGTGACTTAAATTTTATGTTTAAAAAAAAGAATAATTTTTTTCCTGCGAGAAGAGTAAGATCGCTGCTAATATTCTTGTGAATACAGTACCCCAAGCACGAACAACTAGCTTATGGAAACTAAGCAGCCCTTACCAAACGGAAAACACAAATAAGCTCCTTCCTTCCAACTTTGACGATGTCGATACGAATACTTTTTCGCTGTATAGTTGTTCGTACTTGGGGACAGATACAGATGCCAACAATTGGCACTTTATTTTTCATACTGTTAAATTGCCTTAAACTCTTTGATGCTGATTTAAACGGTTTAAGTTGTATCGGGCAAATGCTGTTTTAATTATTTTACTTCTAAGTCTAAGTCAACAAAATCAATTATCGCACGCATAAGTATGAAGTTTCTATGCTTTCCATAATTTGATATATATATTATATTAAACTCACATATGTTTACCGTTAGTAATCTCGCATATTGCATCTGCAAATGGAACACATGTGTCTAATTCGCAGGGCGCAGACTTTGTATAAGTGAGTAGACCTTTTTTCTCGTGAATCAACACTTTATACATTCTAAGCAACGCTTGGAATAAATCCAAATACGTGTTTCTATTTACAATGAATGAATGAGAGTAAAGTGCAACTCATAATGTTTATAGATACTTTTTGTACGTTTAATAGGGTATCCAAATAAGAACCTATATGCCTTTTTCCTTTCCTTTAAACAACCCGTTTGTAAGTGGCTGACCATCATAGTCTACCCATAGTAGTGCTGTGGTAACTGTACTTGCTGAAGAAACAGAATACTAAAATATCAGACAAGTGCTAATCGGACTCGCCCACCACAGGTTCTGTACCAATTTGTAGGTACGCAACATAAAGAGCCATATTTTTTTTTATTATAACTTAGAACGTTTTTTTTTCAGAGTTTCAAGGGACCGTAAACCTGAGTAGTGTAACATTCAATTTCAATTCGGTGTCTCCACGCATTAGCGAGAAAAATGGTCTTGACAGACAAACAGATGGATTGACCGGCGGAAAACAAAGTGATCCTATAAGGGTTCCGTTTTTTCCTTGTGAGGTACGGAACCCTAATAGCCATAAAGCCATCGCTTGTATGCGCTTTTCTGTAAAGTGGAAATCATTTTCCCAGTCGAGTGTATTAGTTCCTATACTCTTTGGATCTTAAATAACTTGACCAGTTACTAGATCTGTGGTTACTCAAACAGTTGGTTAGGTAGGTACATCATTGTAGAATTATCTAAATGACGTCATAACTCAAACACATACTCCCTTATTAATAAAAGAAGACTACGCATGGATTAGTTACTCCATGTTTTGTCTCTCTCTATTGAATGACAAATGCAATTTGAGTGACATGAACAAAACACGGCGTAACTAGTCAAAGGTTATTCCTTGTTTATTAATAAGGCGGATAATTTTTGAAAAGCGATTTATTTTTGGAATAGGATTTGACAGTTTTGGATTCAACAATTAATTATTAGCAGTTTTACAAAGAATAAAATATATATTGAAAATAGACAGAACTGTTTTCCTAAATGTTATAATATATGGACATAAATTAGTATTATTTTAGTGTAAAAAATATATTTTAGATTATGTGAATAATTAGTTTCATACTGTCCCTTTTCCGGGTAGCAAACTTCGTATTCGGTTTTTGATGGGTTTTTATTTTGTGGCTACTTACAATATAACTTCATTTAATAACAATACTTAAGATTTTTTATTTAAATACAATTATTGTTAAATTATCATAGTTATTAAATAATTATAAATTTTTAAAGCTTGTCCCCTTCTTTTTCGCTTTCCGGACATGTCTGGTTTTGTAACGAAAAAACGCGTCAAATTTTTTGACCTAGTAGTATGGATAAATATATTTTAATTCTTGCAACTCTGAACACTTGACATAGACGCATCGGCCATTTTGACAGAAAGCGGCCGAGGTGGACGGTCATTTTTCCAGTTAACATTTTGTGTTGATATTTGTCTGGTAAGTAACGTTATTTTATATCGTTTCATGGCCTAAACGTACGTTAATATTAAGTTCAATACATGACTTGGAATGAATTATTTGCAAATAAATCACGGCATTAAAGGATTTGTCGCGTTTTATTGGATAAATTCAATTTTATTTCGAGACACGCGACACTTTTGTAACGTCTTTTTTGTAACGTTACTATAAGACAGACAAAAAACGTTACAAAACGGACTTGTAAAGGCTAGATCATACAATAACTTTTAATTTTTAACCGACTTCAAAAAAACGGAGTAGGTTCTCAATTCGCCGGAATCTTTTTTTTTATTTTTATTTTTTCTGTATGTTCCCCGATTACTCGAAGACGCCTGAACCGATTTGGAAAATTCTTTTTTTGTTTGAAAGGGTATACTTCGCAGGTGGTCCCATTGTCATGAAGTTAGGATCTGATGATGGAATCCTGGAGAAATCGAGGGAACTCTTCAAATTTTATAGGCACGTACACTGTGTTTTAGGTATTTCCTAATACTATTCAGTATTTGCCTCTGGTACTCATCATCTTATGTTGCTGAGCTAATGATGGAAAATAATTCTGTATGTGTAGGCGCTTCACACTAAAATGGATGAAATAAAAATTGATTTTATACACAAAAAAAAACCGACTCCAAAATTGATTTGAAGAGGGCATTACCTTGAAACTTGGTACAATACTTAAATAACAAAAAAATAAGTTTTCATCTTTAAAATATGCTTTATCTATTTAGCAAAAATCGCCATTATAATTTTGGCCCCATATGTAATTTGCATCATATTTAAATTAGTTTATACTATCTATGATATCCTTACTATTAGTACGAGAATGTTTTACGCACTTTTAGTGAAAATAACCATATAAAAAATAAAAAGTATTTACTCTACCTTTTCTAAAAGTTAAGTCAAGAGAAACCTTCAGCGTGCGTCAGCGGTCTAATCGGAAGCGCGCTTAATTAGGAATGCATGACAAGCACAAATGCCGACGAACATTATCATTTATTAAACAAAGCTATTGATGAATGTTCAGGTATCTTACTCGGAGCACTTATGAGGATAACTTAGAGATTTTAATTTTATGACGGTATAATTTAGCCAGCTTTGTTAAGCAGCAAAAACCACAGAAGTAATTTTGTAAAATTTCTTAATGTAAATTTTTGACTCAAAAATTGTGACGGCTCGTTTCTAATAAGGTGAAACATAAAATTTCATTTCACAAACAATGTTTCATTTGACAAGAGTTTTCTGTATAAAAACAAGACGTTCATAATAAGAC